CTCTCTATTTGTTGCATTTAGCTTCATCCTCAAGAATGTAACAATGCAGTCACTATTGCACAGCCATCCACATAATGACGGCCTATGGAGCGAGCGGTGACGCTGAGGCTACAAGTATGCTCTGAGTGTGTGTGAGTGCTGCGTCAGAGGATGTTTACACAGCCTGGAATCAGAGAGGAAGACCCAGTGTGTGTCCTTCTGGTGGTGTTGTGTGTATGTTGTAAAGCGGACAGCCTTATATTTTGTGGGTAGATGTACATGACGTCTTTTGTCAGCCACTGAAAACACTGTGAGAATGATGTAAAAATGCATTTCACAAGTTGCTTAAACAACCCTTTTCTGCATCAGATTGTTTTGAAAAGAGCAGCACGATCTGGGTGACAAAACCCCCCCATGTGGCCCTTGGCTCGGGGCCCAAAAGGTGTGTATGTGTGTGTGAGATTAAAGTGGTGCCAATTTGTGAAGCAGTATTTTTAGAAAGGAGGCCCGTCCGCTCCGGTAATACTCCTCAGATCAGTCTAACCCTTTGATGCGTTCATTGTAGTGCGATCCTACTTCAAAGCTGCACACAGGGATGGGATGGGACGGGGAGGGGGTGTGAATACACTATACACTTCATTACTGCGCCCCCCGAAATTCGGCTTTCTGTCACCTCTGACCTCTGGGCATTTGTGCTCATAACACACTTCCACTCCAGAGGATCCACAACCGGAGGTATTTGTGTGCAGGAGGGCTCAGGGCAGAGAGGATGTGTTTGATTTTTTGTGTCCACAGAGTTTTCTTGTTCCACTGTTTTAGCTCCAACACTGTGGATCAAACTCCCCCACAGATACATAGACTGACATTAAACTTGAATCTAATGGTTTTATGTTGTTGTAAGCTTTACCATTCCCCGGAATACTTGTATTTCATTGTATTGTACTGTATGTGAAGGTGTGAAGCACCTTGTGACTCTTATTTTGAAAAGGTGCTATGGAAATAAAATGTATTTTTTTCTAAACTGAATATTTTACAAGGGGGCATGATCATTCCTTAGAGATTTTATATGAAGTTCTAAACATCCCCAAACCCAGGTTTTAGAATTTGACCTACTTCAAATAGAAGACAACCTTCTAACATCAATCTTATTAGCATTACTAATTGTTTCACATCAACTTTTTAATCTGCATTTGACTCTTTCATAGGCCTTGCAAGGTCTTATGAGTAAGACTGAAGCCATGCTCACTGGGTTTATAACAGTTATTAAATAGGTGTGTACCCAGTGTCACATTATATTCATTCATGATAACAGGGGCAGTAAAGTGGACTTCCTGTTAGTTTTCTGTGCCTTGTAAAGAACAGAGGCGTCTGATAAAGAGGGTGTAAAGGAATTTGTCATCTGAACACCTGATACTGTGGAAAACTGCCCAAATTTAAATTCAAACCAATGTCATCTTTTGTTGAACTCATAGTCAGAGACACCACAACTACAACAGATTAAAATCACACATTTTTAGCATGATATCAGCATGTCTACCTTTTACCTACCACACCTCGGAAGCAGTTAAGGTGTGTTCAAAGGCACCACTGAGTCTTTTAAGTGTCCCGTGCTGCTGACTAAATCTGCTCCGCTTATCAGTTATGACTCAAGCCTGAAACCTCCCAGTGACAATAAAGAGTCACATTCCACCTGACAGCAGAGAGGAAAGGGACTTTCCTGTCCTCCACTCCCTTTTCACTGTTGCATGTCTGGCATTTACTAAGAAATGCTGCTTGTAGAAAGAGTCCCTGAATGTCAAATATACTGTTACTGACTCTATAATGTTGTAACCTTGACACCAAGTAGAAAAGTTTCTAGTTGAGAAATGAAAAATTAAAAAGTAGAGGAGAGCATAAAGTTATGTCAAAAATGCATGAATATTTATTCAAATAAATACACACTCATCACACATTGAAATAGTAAATAATTTAAACAAGACAAGTTGTTTGCCAGTAACACCATATCCTGGAAACAAATAAATTAACATCATGGTTTTAGGAGTCATTCCTCCCAGGGGAGCAAACTTGAAATAGTTGTGACAATTCAAGGGTTCAGTCCTGTGTGTGTGGAGCTTCAGAAAATCTCTGTCGCTTTAGATCGGTTGTCCGCTCTCTCCGAGAGCTCAGTCCCGAACAATCCTTCATCTCTGGACCGGATGACCTCGTCTTCCTTTTGGTCCGCGTATTATTTCTGTATGGTCCATATTGACGCTATAAAAGAGGAGACAAAAATCATGTCATTAGTTTCAAGATTCTCCCACTGCGTTCAGCTACAGTTAATGCTTATTTTTACTCATTTATATTCATATATCATGTCAGCTATAAGACATGGTGTGTCCCTCACCATATTAGGAGTGGTTAACTGCCGGAGTCCCTAAGGCGGCTCAGGGCGCCCTCGCCATGCGCCTCTCCTGCTGTCCGGGCGACGCGCTCTCGTTGTCCTGCCGCGTTTTAAAGTCCTGGATGGCCTTTCTGTTCTGGTAATCAATCAGGGCCATGGTGATCACTGCGTTCCAGCAGTTCTCCTCTCCAGAGCACCGGAAATCGATCTCCTTATTATCTGTGGTTACGATGGTGAAATAGACAAACTTGCCGGTGCGCTCCACGCAGTCCACCTTCTTGATGGACTGCAGCTTGAGCTCCTTGCCCTTGGAGCGCTTCTGTGTGTCTGCGTAAATGTTGAGGCTGTCCGTGGTCAGGACGCACGTCTTCCTCTTCCAGAACTGGAGCAGGCTGTCGCTCCTCTTCTCCAGCTCTCCCTCCTTGAGGACCTGGCTGATCTCCTCCGCTGACATTTTCATTGTTTATGGCGAGCGGGTTTGTGAAGTCCCTGCTTCCTTGCTGTGTCGTCCGAGGAGCCCGAAGAAGGAGCTTCTCTGTAAAGGTTTTGGTAATCCAGAGTGGCGTTGTGAATGAACTAAGGTAGCAGAAGGTTTTATAGCGTACTCTGGCCCGGGCCCTTCCCACTTGACGTCAGATGATTTGGGAATGCATCAACAGTTGCCAGTGGAGTAGGCTAATTCAAGGCTGTGTGGGCGGAAGCTGTGGCGCAGGCAGGGGGAGAGAGGGCAGAGGAAGTCCTAACGTGGACCTAATTACACCACCAACATGTTAATTACTAATCCACATCCTGCTGCGGAGATTAGTCCAAATATTTGCCCACTTCGCAGTAAGTGATTCAGTCTAATATGGTTAATTACAGATGTGCTCTGAGTGAGCTGAGCACATGCGTAAAAATGAGTCTGGCCCCCTAAAACCATTAAGATTATCATTAATTTCTGATGTATTTTTGAATTGACATATAAAGTTTATGATCCAAACTTTTTCCGTGACAGCCTGGTAATTCATTCCCTTTATAATCTTTCAGTGTGCCAAGTAGGTGCTGTGCCACCCTGCTCTCTGGTGCTTCTTTGAAAAGGTACTTCAGACTAAACCTGTTTCATCTGAGTGGTGCTTTACATAAACTTTGCTATTCCTGTCTGTGGATGTCAAGCTGCTGAAATGGCCCACAAGCGCAGTTTCCATTCGGTGAGCAGAGGATTCATCAGACTGTATGTCAGCAGAGAAAAGAGAGTGGGTTTAGAGGTTTATGCAGTTCCTTTAGCAGTTACAAAACCCGACCACAGACAGAAAGCAAGCAGAGAGTGCGTTTTAATGAACATTTAAGATGGTCCCTATTATTGGTCCCTGCTGCCTTAAAAGTTAACAGAAGTAAACTGAATTATTTAGTTAAAAGTCGTCTCATGAGCAGTGAATCTTTCTGTTTTTAGTTCCTCTGATTGAGGAATCAAAAAGTAGAGACCAGAACAATGCTTTTTATGAGACAAATACTAATTTCCAAATATTTTTTTCTTCAAATTACAAAAAGCAGAATTCTCAAACAATAAAAAAAACTTTTAATGAGTTCAGTGAACACTCAGTAGTTCATTAGTTCAATGGTCTGAAAATAAAAACGAAGTAGAACTAACTTTAAATTAATTATACATATATTAACATTAACTGAGTGACACAAGATTAGTTGATGCCACTCAATTCCTGTATGTCTTACAGTGTGTTTAAAGAATGAAATGAGAAAAGGAAAAAGAAAGTTAAGTTGTAATTATGTCCTATTTTTTAGTCATATGATTGTGATGCAAGCTGAAGTAACTGTGAACAGTAATGAAAGTTATGTTGAGCGAGTCAGATCTGCCACTCCCACTATAACTGCCACTTGACTAAACAACTGACCACGGTGTCACTGACCTCACTGGCTCAGTCTTGGTTGTTCATGTCTGACAGTAGCAGACTTAAGATGTGTGTCACTGAGCTTCTGGAGCCTGAATGCAGATGTCATCGACTTCTTACCCTGCAGCCTGCCCTGTCCTGCTGGGGGAATCATCACCCACACAAACACCTAACCCCCAGTATCCAGTACAGATACACTCACCGGGTTGCATCACTTGTGTGCAGTTGCGAACACGTATCAAGCACCCACTTCAGGCTCTCCTGTTTGCTTTGCTATCGCTCTCCTGTTTGCCTTGCTATCAGTCTCCTCTCTCACGTAAACCCCCACCCCATCCCCACAGGAAGTGAAAAGTCTCACCATCAATGTCTCATCAGCTCATACACCAGTTCTCCAGAGTTCTCCAGAGTTCTCCAGTAATTGAATAACTGGGTGACCCTTTGTGCCCCCCACGAGTTAGAGAGAACCACCCTTGACTTCACACATCAACGCTACTGTGATCATACAGACATTGGAAAGCAGAAAAGGCGTAACCATGGTGAATCACTTTAGGAATCACTGTGCAAGCCCTGCATTAGTACTGACACTGGAGCGGGATGTGGCGGCCAGTTTAATCCTCTGATCTCTGGAAGAAAAAGAAACCACATGTGTGTATTGAGTCAAACAGCATGCCGGCATCCGTTTACCAGCTTCTTTGTTGCCTGTCTGTGTGTGTGTGTGTGTACATGTGTGCGTATATAGGTTTTTGTCTGAAGGAGTACTGCGGTGGAGACACACAGACATGCCCAGGCAGTGACTCAGCATGCAGTGCCTTACTTTGGAGGAGTTTGCTTGCAGAAGGAGGGCCAGGTGTGTGTGAGACAGAGTGTGGGGCTGAATATGTTGTGTCTAACCCTGTGTGTGTGTAAGGATCATCATCCCTGTGAAGAGGGTTGGAGAATAATGAAATAGATACGGCAGTGGTGTTAATGTTAGTTGGTGTTTCTGAGAAAAGTAAAGCATGGTTAACATTCACATAGCAGCCCTCACCAGTTATCTATTAATATGATCCATATTTAGTCAGTACACCTTCAGTTTTCTTTAAATTATGTGTTTTTTGGTCGACATTTTATTCCTTTCATAAGCTCTCCACACATCACACATTGTAAACAGCGACAGCCGAACTGAAGCACTCAAACCTTTACAAAGCACTTACTGTAGTGTGACTGCTGAGTTACAACAGCAGTAGCCAATGTGTCCTTGTTTTCTTTGTTTTTCAGGCTTGTGGGAAGGTGTTACTACTATTTCTGGAGGGAGTCAGGCTGTGTGATGGATCTCAAGAGTTGTGCTTTGACAACCTCGGGTTCAAATCAGGGCCCCTCCGGTTCTCACTGTCTCCACACAGACAAAACAAAACCCCCAGAGACACACACTGAGATAGTGTGAAAGGAAGTAAGATTATGCGTCACCTGTGACAACTAAGGAGGGTTTTAATTTACAAAATAAGCAGATAAAATGTGAACTACTGAGCACAACGGTATAAAAAAAAAAAAACAACTACATGTCTGTTGATGTTTTCGTCTTGTTTGCTTGAGGGTGATGGAGTTTTGCAGCCATGGGCACATGGGTGTGACAAGACAGCAGGTGGAAGGACCAGAAAGACCCAGAGTTTGGTAGTCGTGTCGGGACCTGAAGCTTCTGAGTGTTTACTGTGAGTCACAGCACACAAAGCACATTAATACAGAGGAAGTCAACTCATTGAACTCTGCTGGAGGTCATTTGTTTAGGTTGAAAGTAAGTCATTATGTGTGAGAGATTAATGTTCTATTTATATTATACCATTTTTTTTGTGGGGGGGCGGGTAGAAAATATATGTACTTTGTTGAAGCCATTGAGAACACGTAACCATAGAATGGGATTCAAAAGGATTTGATGACTCATTATTGGACAATTGGATTTGTTATTATAATTAATTTTATTTAAACCATAATATCAGATTTTCTGGCCACTTGGCAATGGAAACAAACCGTAAACAACAGTTGTATTTCCACATTTCCAGATAAGCAGCACTGTCGTGTTTCTGGCCACCTGATGATAAGTCCAACATTCACACACATTTTAGCTCTGTTTTACTCTCCTGAGAGACATCTGGCTGCTAAATGTTCCACTGTGTTGTGTTTTGTCTCTGTCTGTTGTTTGGTGCTGAGCAGGTAGTGTACAGTCAGTTTATCAGAACCTTTTGCAGGAAACAGCTGCAATGTGCAAAAACGACGTTATCAGAACAGTAGAAGTGAACCAAAACAGTAAATGGCCAAAAAACTAAAACAATGAGCTAAAAGAAGCTAACACGGAGGGGAACTGCAGAGTCAGGTGATAATTATCTGTGGATCCATCAGTATGAGAGATTCCTTTCACATAAAAAGAATCTAAAAATATCAATTATAGCTGCTTTAAATTCTAAATCTGATGCAGATTTAAAACCTCTGATGAAAGAGAGCCCTGGCTAGAACAACAGGAATAAAGGTGTGGACTATTAACTGTCACACCCAGCAGTTACACTAAGAACACAGAGAAAGGATGAACGGTAATATCATGGGTACAAGCGTTGCATAACCTCACATTAACTGTAATTGATAATTATTATTAAAAGAAGTGTTCAAATTAAAATGTGCTATCCTACAGGATAATTAACCTAATTATGCTTTCATACAGGATAAGTAAGACCTCTAAAAAATATTTTGGAAAAGATATTCTTCACCTGCACCCACACTTTTGCTTATTTCTGCACAATGAATGAAAGTTGTGTTCATGCAAATGATGTTTATGTACACGGTGTTAGCCATTGAAGCCTCTCTCAGACAGTGAACTATACATAGTCAACCTAACAATGGGGAGCAGTATGGATGAGCTGGCTGTGATGGGCCGCTGACAAGTACAGCAGAGCCCACAGGTAACAGCTGCATACTGTGACACGTTTATGACTTTAGCCTGTCTCTCACATACACACATCACACACACACACACACACACACACACACACTCACACACACATCCTCTTCTGCTCTTCTGCCCTTTGGTGACATGCCCTTGTGATGAGACTCCGGAGCTATTTGAGGCATTGTTCTGATAAGCCCTGTGTGTGTGTGTCTGTGGCCACACTGGCATGCAGCAGCGTGGGAAAAAGAACAAATGGCTGATGAGGGCAGCGCACAGTCCAACACAAAGCTGCAGGAGGAACTGTTGGAGAACAATGAAAACAGACTTGGCTGCTGTTATACACTTCTGTCTCATACTTACTGTATGATTGCAGAGCTGAAGATGGGGTCTACACCACATTCTTTCAAATCTACACCACATTTTTTAGAATTAATCAGCCAGAACTATTAAAGGCCCAGTGTGTAGGATTTAGTAGCATCGCTTCACCCTCCCTTTCCAAGCATGAAGGAGAAACTACGCTGGCTGTGAAATGCGGGAGAAATGCAAAAAGCCCTGTCTAAAGCTAGTGTTTAGTTTGTTCTAAGCTTCTGTAGAAACATGATGGTTCAAAATTGTGACCTCCATGGAAGGCGACCTGCAGCATCTGCACATGTAACAAAAATATATTGATTCCGATTTTCATGTGATTATACACTAATGAAAACATACCTGTGAATATTAATTTTATTTTATTTTCTGCCAGTAGATCCTCCTAAATTATACACACTGGACCTCTAAGATCCTTTAACTTAAATCAAAGTGGGAATACAAGAATGTAAAATACTCAATTACAACTAGAAGTACTGCATTGAACATTTTAGTATAAATCTAAAGTGCAGAAGTATTATCTATTCAATTTCAATTCAATTCAATTTTATTTGTATTCTGCCAATTCATAACAGAAGTTATCTCAGGACACTTTTCAAATAGAGCAGGTCTAGACCGAACTCTTTAACATTAATTACAGAGACCCAACAGTACCACCATGAGCAAGCACTTGGCGACGGGGGCAAGGAAAAACTGCCTGTTAAGAGGCAGAAACGTAGGACAGATCCTTCAGCTCTAGGTGGGTGGTCGTCTGCCTCGACCAGTTGGGGTGAGAAAGAGAGAGAGAGAGAGAGAGAGAGAGAGAGAGACAGACAGAGACAGAGAGACAGACAGAGACACAGAGAGAGACAGACAGACAGACAGGTGCACAGCAACAACAGTATTGGCAATGGCAATCTAGCAGGACCATGGCAGGAGGCGGCTCCACCAGGTTCGATAAGAACCTGCGAGACGAGAAAGCACAAGAACTCCGGGGAAGTAGTGAAGTTAGTAACATGCATTAATGGAACATGAATGAGTGCATAAAGAGAGAGAGGAAGAGAGGAGCTCATTGCATCATGGGAAATCCCCCGATAGTCTAGGCCTATAGCAGCATAACTAAGGGATGGTTCAGGACTCACCTGATCCAGCCCTAACTATACGCTTTATCAAAGAGGAATGTCTTAAGCCTATCTGTGTTTTGTATTTGAGTATCAAAAGCTAATTATGCTAAAAATGTAGAATGTCCCCTGTCAGGAGTGTAATTTATTTCAATGGATCAATATTGTTGCATTGGCATATAGGTAGCATTTTAATATTGTAGCTAGTAGAGAACTCCTTTATTCTTTAATCTACTGCTAAGTGCATCATATTTTATAAGATGATTGTATTTTTTTATTGCGGGGTGCCCTGGTAGCTCGCCTGGTAGAGCTGGCCTTGTGCTGCATGTCATCCTCTCTCTCCGTCTCCCCTCCCTCCCTGTCTCTCCCCTCTCTGTCAGATAAATGTAATGTGGGCAGAAAAGAACAATATTTCTCTCTCTGTCTAAAACGTAGTGGAAAAGAAGCACAAAGTGGAAACATCTACAGTTAACTACATGCAACTGTCCTTGAGTCAATGTATTCCGTCACTGGCCTTATTACTTTGGCATGTATTTCCAGAATGCTGTTCAAGCTGAGGAAACTATCTCATAAATGTCATTACATATGAAACACAACTCTAATTGTTGGGTCACACTATCATTAACACATACTTCAACACAAAGGTGTGTGAACCATGCAGCCTGCGATAACCACACTTCCTTCTCACATCACATGAGCCATGTGCAGAGACTCAGGTGAGAGTAATGAGATGCGATCTAGAGACTCGCACGCAGAGTCCGGAGCCTCATTCTTGGCCAACTTGACTCTGCGAAGAATGGCAGGTATGCAGATCTACAATCCTTCTCCCTGCCAGGAATGTAGCATTCACTTTGCTGTCTGCATAGCTTCACTCTGGCTTATATGATAAACCTAGAGTCTTTCCATAGAACCTAAACTAATCTGTGGTAGGAGCAGGGCCATGGACTGGACTTTAAGGCTTGATGGTTAAACCTTTTAGGCCTGTGCTGTCCAATTCCATGACTTAAAGCTTTCCTTTGACGATGGTTCATCTCTCGTTTTGTGCAGAAACAATGTGGTCTTGTAGTAGAATGCTAAAACAAGGCCTCATTGTGAGATAATCCACATTAAGCCAAAAGGGACAGTGAAAAGATGATTAATTAGTCAGGAAATTCTCCTTAATGTTTGCTCATTTATGCAGCAGTGCTTCAACAGGTCTGAATTTCACTGGAAGCCATCAATCAAAATCAAGTAATCAGATTCATTAATTATTGCCTTAAAACACCTCTGTCTCCTGATTTTAGGACTTAACCAAAAATATGTGACGCAATGTGTGGGCACAGCATAAGAGACAAGAGATTTACTTTGTCAGTTTCATTCACAGCCGTCAGTCTTTTATCTTGAAGCAAGGCTGAGCATGGTCCAGCATGCAATATTTACATATATTTAAACCAGACTTGCCTCCGATTTTTTCCCCCTGTGCTCACTTTTATGTAACCTAATACCTGTTCGTGTCATGTAGCCCAGGCCTGACTGACAGCTTTATCTGTGTGCAGAAGTCAAGGAGCGTGATTCAGGTTAAACATGCCACACCTAGTTCCCTGTTCATTCATAAATCCTGACAGAGGTGTGCTACCCTGTTGCTATGCTGTGATTGGGCGTGAGGCTTGCTTTCCCACACATACCAGGCAGAAAAGTACCTGGTGATAATGCCAATGAGATTATCTCTCTCATAGTGGTCATTGTTTATACTCATTCATGTTAAGCACACATAGATAAACATAAAGGAACGAAGGGTGCCTGGTTGATTTAGTGTAGCAGACTGTGGAGAACTTCCTGATAACTTTGGTACACTAAATTCTTTCTTAATGCAAAATCAATTTGGCACTGGGTTCCTTTTGAATGACTTGAATCCATCTAATGTTTCCTCAAATGTAGCTTTAGTGACTTTGTGGCCAGCTCGGGTTTGACACCTTATACAAAGAGTTTACACATTCTCCTCATAATTCTCTCCCACCGTCCAGAGACATGCCAGTCAGACTGACAGGACGTGCTCCAGCATGAAATAAGCCTATCAAAAAAGAGAAAAAATAAATAATACATGGATTGTGTTTTGGCCAACAGATGTCAAGATCCCTCCATATTTTAATCACTGGAAATATTGCAGGGATTTGAAAGAGCGTTGGCCTGAGACGATGGAAAAGATATTGTGGCACCCACGCTAGGCACTAGTCCCAGCCTTGTTTGGTCTCTCTTCTGGAGGAGATTGCGCACTGCTTATTCCCAAGGACGCTGCCCTTCCTGAACAGTTTCCCATGAGCCCACTGCAGTGTGTGGCAGGTCTTGTTTATGTATGGCAGGTGCAGTCAGGAGAGGTTAAGGTGACAGCTGAACTCTCCCCTCCCATTCCACTTTGCCTGTTTATCACCCATTCATTTGCTGACCATTGATTTAGCACTACACTGAATAATAGAGTGCTGCAGGAATGACGTATTTTTTGCAGGCTAATGTCATTGAGACTCATCCTCTGGGAACTATCAATGTAT